GTTTTGTCAACACATGAAACTTGTAAAACTAGACGTTTGAATAGGAGACCACTGGTTCTGTGATTACTGCATTGATAAAATAAAATTCATAGTCTAGGACTAGGTTTTTCAATCATCTGTGAAAAGTCAACAAATATCAACACAAACTATGTTAGCAAAATTTGTTTAATAAAAGATATAAAAGCAAATTATTGCAAAAAGATTTATTTATACAATATAAATATAAGACAGATATCTGTCAGATTTTTCCCAAAGTACCTCTGCCTCCCACTGACTGCCAGTTCATGTTATACTTATTTTGGCATAAAAAACAATAATTAGCCAGGTAGTTTGAATCTTTATATTATCTACAACAACATCAATTATAATTATTGGTTTTTAAAAGAGGGTGTAAATAACCCAGTTCTGCAAAACCAAACATCAAAATGTACAGACTTGAGCATCAAACAATTTGTTCGGATGTGGTCTTAATCGTACTGGTATTGTGTAGCCAGTATCAATTTTCCTATAACCCAGGAATACCCAGAAACCACGGCTTTAAAGAACAGTGCATGTGTTGTTGAGCCCTGGTTATCATCTGATAACGTCAAATCAGAAAAGTCGCTAAAATAGAGACTCTCGAGTGATTGTAATATGAAGATACATTGATAAGGGAACGACTCCAGGTCAGAAACTTCACCTGTGAAGTCCCACTTTCAAAAAAGTACATATTCTTTATTATCAATAAAAACCAGACAGTGTTCAAAGCACGTTATCTTCATGTCATTTGACAATAAAATCTGTGATCTGACGTTTGTATCCTCCATCTTCACGGTTTGCATAATTATCGTTTTCTGTAGTAATTTTTTTTGGTTCAATTTGATGACTTTGCAACATGAGATTGTCCAGTAATACTCTCAACGACTTCCAGAACTGTTACGGCAAATTCCTATAATAAAAAATAAATAAATCACTGTTAATTTATTCAAAGGTGGGGTGTTAATTGTTGGGTTGGGAGGGCATCCATTTTTAAGGTCAATTTATAAAATTGCCTAGGATATCAGGGAGTGATAATTCCCCTTGTTTTTGGTGCTAGATGTACCTTTTATAAAAATTTAATGAAGTAGGTCAACACCCCTTAATTGTGTCTAATAGTCAATCCTGTTTTACTGTCAAGGTCTGGATGATTCACACAATGCAAATTACTGACCAAGATATGTATTTACAACTCCTTACCTTGTTGTACATAGCAGGTGGTTTATAAGCATTTATTGTCAATAAAGTTCTTGTTAATAGGTTGCCCAGAGTCAGATTAAATGCTGCATTTTGAGGTAACACTATGTATTGAGTTAATAAATCAATATATTGGTAAATTATTTTGTACTTTAACAACTATGAAGAACACTACAGTGCTATCGATACTTTGACAACATTTTGGATTGTGCCCCGAGTGGGAATATGGATTAACATAAAGCGACTATACTGTCTGGACACACCTTGAAGTATGCACATACCGTAATAAACTTAAAATATATCATCCAGAGTCTGCGATGCTCAGAATCAAATAAATTGGCTATATTTATTGTTTTCAGGTTACAAGCTTTATTTTTACATATTTAAACATGGTAGGCTATAGTTTACCTGTGCAACACTGCAAAAATGCAGCTAAACAGTTACTTATGGTGATACAATGACAGATTTATAATAATAGAATCTAAATCTAAGCTTATTGTTCTTTATGTCAAGTTGAGTCATTATTAAACTGAAAGGATACTCTCCAGCGTAGTGCATGTCATGGTGAGAGGAATCATTATCATATGGATTTAAGATATTCCTGGTCTTCATATCAAACACTAGATGATATTTGAATGTGTTCACAGTTTTCCTCAAATCAGCTATGTAAGTGTTGGGTTAGCCACATTTCAATTCAGATAGAACCCTATCCTTGGAATAGCCTAGAAAATAAATAGAAGATGTTAAATTAAAACATACGGTAACAGTTAATTTTCAACTGTTTAGTTCAAAACTGCAACAATGTCATCAACTGATACAACTATGATCATACAGCTGTCAGTTATAGCAGTTACAACACATGCATCTGCCTTATAAACTCTCTAGTTGGACTATGCCAAAATGCATTCTATTTCAATAGGTATAAAAATTGATTTAATACATTGCACAGCTCAATCCTAAAACATTTAGTTTTTTACATTTTGTCTTATAAATGTTCACATCTTTAATTCCAATTCATTCGCTCGTTTTATGTTAGTCCCAGGAATTGATGGTTGACAATATACAGATGTTTACAAACTTGGTAAATTGAAAGATTGAAAAATTTCTGTAAATTTTCAGATGCCACTAAACTATAGAGGGAGTCTCATCTACAAAGTACCTTAATTGGAAAGAAAACATAGAACAAATTTGTAAAACTATATCACCTAAAATTGGTATTTTGTATAAAATTCATCATTTTGTCCCACGATCTATTCTTATCCTGCTTTACAACTCTCATTTTACAACATATTACTTACTGTATAGAAATATGGGTTAACACCTACAAAACCTTTTTCAACAAAATTCTACTACTCCAGATAACGTTTTAAGATTTTAGTGCCCCCACGGCCCTCCTGTTCAAA